TGTTCAGCTTCGAGGCACCGAATTCCTCTCCACTTGTGTTTCCCCAGGTTCCCTGCCCCCCATTTCGGACTGTTTCCAAGGGCGTCCCTCGGGGAAGGTTGAGGAGCCGAGTGTTCTGTGTGTGCCTATCGTGCTGCCCACCGCTCTCCCAGGAGTGTCGGGACATTAAAGGAGGGTGACACCCTTTCGGGGGGAAGTAGAAGCAGCATGCTGTGAAAGGGGCAGGGGACACAGGCCGCCATCAGTTTGCTGGCCATTGTTTCAGAGAGAGGGGCCGAGACCAGGGTGAACCGTGTTTCCCTTGACTCCTGTGGAATCCGAAGCGCTACCAGCCGGCACCACCTTGGGCCCAAGTTGCGCAGCCTCGTTGTTCTTGTGTTTCCGCATATTTGTACTTGGGATGGGGACCGGTGATGGCAGTGCTATGGAGGTGTTGGCGAGTGTTAAATGAGTTCATGCACACCAAGTGCTTTGAACTGTTTCCGGCATGTGGGAGTGTTGGGGTTGTTTTTTTGTAGGAGAACATTTATTGGGTAAATGACAGAAGTAGAAAAAGCTATTCCTAGAAGAAACGGGGTTAGGAAACAAGTTATAAAGGAAGGGCCCTTAGAGCTTGGGAGTAAAGAAGGTAATGGCAACACATCTGGGGATAGGGAGGGAGAGCCTGGTTTTTTGTTTGTTTACTATTCCCTACACATGCCTTCTTTCCCCTTAAAAATAGCAAACGTAACAAATCTGACCTTATTACTTAACCTTTGTTCAGAATCCTGGTAGCCTATTGCCATGAACCCTTGCCGTTAATGTTGATCCGAGTATATAGTATAAATTACCGGTAACTAAAGGCTTTCTGCCAGGTGTTTATCTTATCATTAAATAAGGTTAGGAACTATCACTAGACTAGGTCTGTCTGTGATAGCTGTGTTGGGTAAATGAAACCTGAGAAGTTATTTGTCTGTTTAGTTTTTCGTTGGATAACATTGCATTTACAGCCTTGGGGCCTAGGCACAGTTTATTTTGGATCCAGTACCGAAAAGGCCACGATGGCAGCATACTTGATTCCTCATGTTCCTGGTGTGGCCAAGTGGGACTGGGGAGGGGAATTTCTGGGCAGCCTGGCAGCTCTTCTTGTTAATGAACAGGGAAGTTTGGTATGATCTAATGTTATTCTGCTGTTAGGAAATCAGCAGTGCTCCTTGGGTTACTCTGTAGAGCTACTAAGCAGCTTTGGTTCAGTTTTAACTCCGTGAAGTGAAAGTGAGAGGTGAGAGAATAGTGTCCACCAAGTAATAGGTTTTCTGTTTGACTTTTGGTGCTAAGAGTTTGTGTGGGTGCTGTGGAGTCAAAGACATCTTTATTCCCCGTCTCCTCACCACGTTCCTAAATACAAACGTGAGATGACAGAGTTACGCCTTTTCTATGAGCTTCGAAGTCCCTCTCACATTCTCTCTGGAAGGCTCCAATGGGAGGTTGTCCTGTCTTCCAGTTCTCCTCTTCTAGGAAGCTGCTGTTTATGCATGTAGCCTTCCTGGAAAGTAATCCAAAATGAGAAACTTTGAATTTACAAAAAAGAACATCACTTACTCTAGCAGTATGCTGGCCTGATTTGGCTAAAATGCAGGTGTTATATAAGTTTAGTTATTTAGCTTTGCAATAAGACAGTTTAGTATTCCTGTAGGGTTGGATGTTGGAGGGGTGAGAGTGGAGGACTGTCTTTGTAAAATCCCTTTCTTTGTACTGGAATAAGGAGGAAAAGTGTAACATCTTTAAAGAGTTGAGTGTTTGAGGTAGAAAGGGGAGCCTTTTGTCCCAATATTGTCATCTTTATTATCTGAGTCTCTGTGGTTTGAATAAAATATTTTGGAAAAGAAGGCTGGTAGCATTTGAATGTGTAGAATATAAGGAGTTAGACGACCTAGACCCTTGTCTCACTCATTGTATGCCGTTTATTCTTTTAATAACTTAACACATATATTTAGAACAATTAACAGTTATTGACCCCTGGAGACACAAAAAAGAGCCCTTACAGGTACCATCAGGAATATCATTGATAAAATAAAACAACATATGTGTATTATAGGCTATATTTTATTTATTTATTAAAAAGATTTTTAAATGGATTTTTAGAGAGAGAGGAAAGGAGATGGAGAGAGATATATAACAGGTTGCCTCCTGCATGTCCCCTTCCAGTGATGAGCCTGAAACCGTGCATGTGGCTAACCGGAAATCAAACCAACAACCTTTGGGTGCACAGGCCGATGCCCAACGACAGCCACACCGGCCAGGGCATATAAGCTGTATTTTAATAAAATTAGAATCCCATATAATAAAAGGCCAATATGCAAATCGACCGTAGGGTGGAATGACTGGTCGCTATGGCGCGCACTGACCACCAGGGACAGACGCTCAATGCAGGAGCTGCCCCCAGATTGTCAGTGCACTCCCACAGGGGGAGTGCCGCTCAGCCAGAAGCTGGGCTCGTGGCTGGCGAGCCCAGTGGTGTTGGCAAGAGTCTCTCCTGCATCTGCGGCAGCGCTAAGGATGTCTGACTGCTGGTTTAGGCCTGCTCCCTGGGGAGTGACTGCTGGTTTAGGCCCACTCCCCACTCCCCTAGTTTCTAGCCGTCAGGTATCCCCTGAAGGCTCCGGGCTGAGGGAACCCCCCTACCCCCGAGTGCACGAATTTCATGTACTGGGCCTCTAGTAGAATATAAAAGAGTTGGCCAAGAATGATAAAAATATATTGTCTAATTCCTCTTCCACTTTTAATTTAAGGTCAGAGTAACATATTTTTTAGTGTAAGAACCAGTTTCCAGTGAAGACAAATTGGGAAGTTAGGG